CGCCGACCCTGAAGGCGGGACCTCCCCCGGGACTTCTGCTGGCGATCCCCCCCCCGACCCTCCTGGACCCCATGGGGGGACGGTACTCTGACTCGTGACCCCCCTCCCCACCCATTGCAGGGAATGGGTCAAAGAGAAGTGGCCGTCTTTCGACTGACTACGTCGTTTTATTATCCTTGTTCTGCAAGTTCCCCGGGACTGGACGACGACGATGGTGACAGCGTCCTCCACCATCCGAAGGATCGACGGATTGATCAACCCACGCAGTGTCAGAATCATCCGCCGGGTCTGTCAGGACACGAACCTGCCGTAGGCCGATGATGCGGCGGATGAGGAGGAGAAAGATGATGTCGACGAGGATCACCACACACATACACTCAGACTAACACCTGCACACATACACACCTAAACACACCTACACGCATCCACACACGTCGTCGCTGTCGTCGCCCTCCTGTGTCGTGGCCGCTCTCGCACCCAGGCAAGGGATCTGCGCGTCGAGTAATTCCATGTTTCGCAGCGTCTTTTGGGGCTCCGGAGGGCTCTTGGAGGTCGTTTCATTGAGGACGTTGCGTTTCCTCCAGGAAGCGGGGGGCTACCCTAGTGGGGCGACCCCCGGTGGTATTGCCTCGACCGCTGGGAGGAGTGCGCGGCCGATGTTCGCTCGTGGCCACCAAAAAAAGCATCGAAGGCGGTACTCGCGCCTGCATGTGGAGGACGGGGAGGGAGCGCGGGGATACTGGAGGATCGAGAAACGACGACGAGGCGCGGGGGGGAGGAGGAGGAGGAGGAGGAGGAGGAGGAGGAGGAGGAGGAGGAGGAGGAGGAGGAGGAGGAGGAGGAGGAGGAGGAGGAGGAGGAGGATGGTGGCCGGCGTTCTCGCATAGCGTCCTCGGCGTCCCCCCGCTCATTTCGGCACACCCCTCACATGTTTCGTGCCCTCCTGGGAGCTCAACTCATGGCCTCAGCAGGTGTGCTCGCATTGCACCCCCCCCGCTCATTTCGGTACACCCCTCGGACGTTTCGTGCTCCCCAAGGAGCTCCGCTCGTGGCCTCAGCAGGCGTGCTCGCATAGCGTCCCCCCGCTCATTTCGGCACACCTCTCACACCTTTCGTGCCTTCCAGGGAACACTGCCCATGGTCCCCGCAGGCGTGCTCGCATGGCGTCCCCCCCGCCCATGTCGGCACACCCCTCACACGTTTCGTGCCCTCCAGGGAGCTGCACCTGTGGCCTCAGCAGGCGTGCTCGCATAGCATCCCCCCCGCCCATGTCGGCACCTCCCTCACACGTTTTGTGCCCTCCAGGGAGCTCCGCGCTGAGCAGGCGTGCTCGCATAGCGTCCCCCCGCTCATTTCGGCACACCCCTCACACGTTTCGTGTCCTCCAGGGAGCTCCGCTCATGCTCCCAGCAGGCGTGCTCGCATTGCGCCCCCCCCCCCGGCCATTGCGGCACCCCCCTCGCACGTTTCGTGACCCCTTGCAATATTCTTTTGCATGGAACGTTTTGGTTCATAGTCGCATCATTCTGAGAATGGGTTGGGTCCTTCGCCAGACTAATGTGTCAATGATTCTACAGGCTTACGCCACATCCGCCGACCCCTTCTGTGACTGTTGCGAGGCCAGGAGTTTCTGGCCAGCGGCGTCTTGTGTGAGGGTGCGGTGTCGCGCGCGGGTGGTGGCAGATACGTAGGGGGTCCACATGTTTGCGTGATGCTGGTGGTCTGGGGCGTGTTTTGCGAGCGCTTTGCGTGCTGTGCACCCGGGTGCGGGGTGTCCTTCTGGGAGGTCGGCCTCTCGCCCCTCAACCAAGTGGAGGAGCACCGGAAGACGAAAGGAGCAAGAGTAGCGTGCGGAAGCTGTGATCAGCGAAGCATCACCGCGAAAGATGTGGCAGATGAGTCGAAACGGGTGAAGAGGCTGTTGACGTTCGCAGCGCGCACGAAACAGTTCGCGTAGCAGCAGCACGTCGCGTAGCACAGCGCCGAGCAAGATTGTGAGCACGTCGCGAGGAAGAGCAAGGCTGCATGCGCGGAGTGCATTGCAGTTGGCTTGACGGCTCGCAATGCGGAAGCGTCTGGTGGTCTTTTGGAGGCCTCCTGGGGGCCTCTTGGGGGCTCCTTGGGGCGTCTTGGCGGCCTCTTGGGGGCCTCTGGCGGCCTCTTGGGGCACTCTTGGGGCCCCCTGGGGCTCGTGGGGGCGGGAAGCTAGATTTTTGAATTTTTGGTTGCCCTCTTGGGCCCCTCTTGGTGCCGTCTTGTCGGAAATGCGCGGAATAACGTCAGAGGACGACGCTTGAGTCCAATAATAGGAAACGGAGAGCCGAGGCGGAAGCGAAGCCGCTGACGTGCGCGGCGTGCGGAGGAGCGTTCTCAGACACGAAACATTTGAGGCAGAGCCAAAAAGAACATCATCGATGGTCGAATCAAAAAAAGGTGGTGTGCGGAAGCTGCGCGGCACTCGGGTTCACAGCCCGCAGTTGCCAGGCGTATCAGTGCAGCGGCGCGTGCAAGAGAAGACTACCGAAGTCGGCGTTCCCCGACCCTCACAATGTCCCGCGCGACGCAAAAAAAGGCACTCTGAAGTGCAAGACCTGCAAATGATGCCGAATCGGGCGCGCGCGCTGAGGAAAAAGGAGAACGAGGACAGGAGAATGGGGGGTGAGGCGGAGGACACAGGGGAGAATCATCGAACGTGTCGAGGTGACGGGCCATGAACAAGAGGAGGGGGACGAGGAGGAGGGGGACGAGGAGAGGGTGGTTGAGGAGGAGGATGAGGGGGACACTGAGAGGAGGCTCTGGGTTATGGTCTTTGGGTGAGAGGTTCTTGTATGTGTATCGGAATTTCGCGGCACTCCTTTCGGGGGCCTCTGGAAAGCAGTTTTGACGCCACTGGGGGGCCGACGTGGACAAGGCGGGTGAGGGGGAGGAGGAGGGGGACGCGGAGGAAATGTTCTGGGTCATGGTTTTGGAATTCTTCGCCTCGGGAGCGCGAATCCCGCTTGTGCGATGATCGCTGGGATCTCTGGTGGTGCTTCTCGCGGGACTCTTGGAGGCAGTTTCGAAGCCTCTTGGGGGCCGTTTTGGGGCCGTTCTGGGGCCTCTTGGGGGGCCTCTTGGGGCCTCTTGGGGGCGTCTTGGGGGCCTCTTGGGGCCTCTCGGGGCCTTTTAGGGCCGTCTCGGGGCGGAAGGCTCGGGATGTCAGTTCGGGCTCCCTCTCTTGGGCCCCTCTTGGGGCCGTCTTGGGGCTCTCTTGGGCCGTCCTGGGGGCCTCTTGGGCTGTCTTGGCGCCCTCTTGGGCGGACTTGGGCGCGTGTTGGGGGCCTCTTGGGCCGTCTTGGGGCGGTCTTGGGGTGCTCTTGGACCGTGTTCAACGCCGTGAAGGCCGAGAAGCCGTATATGATCAAAATGTACGTTTTCCATAGGAATTTGAAGATTTTCGGCTCTTCGGCCCTTCTGAGAACTGCTCTTGGAGGCCTCATGGGCCGTCTTGGAGGCCTCTTGGCCCGTCTTGGGGCCATCTTGGGCGCCTTGGAGCGTTCGTTTGGCGTCTCGGGGCCCTCGTGGGCCGTCTTGGAGGAGTCTTGGGGCCTTCTTGGGCCGCCTTGAGAGACTTTTGAGCCCAAAGAAGCTCCGTGAGTCGCTCGGGCGGGGCCATGGGGGGGGGGTCAAATCGCCAGTTTGGGGTCCCTGGGGGGGGACTGTAGGGGGGGGAACTATCTCACACGCCTAGGGACCCACAAGGGGTCGGCGGATTTCACATCTTGAGCTGTACATGTGACGGCGCACCTGGTCTGGGGGGCCAGGGCGGCCCCAGGTCCACAAATGTGTCTGTGTGTGTGTGTGTGTGAGTGTGTAGTGCAGGCTCTTGGGGGGGGCCCTGAGGCCCACGAAACGCTACTCGAAAGCGCCAAGAGAGCCCCAAGACGCTCCAAGAGGGGCCCGAGACGCCCAAAGGTCGCTACAAAGACGCACAAGATGGCCCCCAGACTGCCCAGGAGACCTCCAAGACGCCCCAAGAGGCCTTCACGAGGCCTCCCAAGAGGGCCCAAGGAGGCAAACATCCGTAGACATTTTGGCTCAAGCCGTTCTGGATCAACCCGGTTTGCCCAAGGGTGTGTCCAAGCCTTGTCCTCTGGACGAACGAGTTTGGGGAGGAATGGAAAAGATATTGATCATGCTCTTGTCCTGCGAATTGGCAGCATTCACCGCAGCTGATACATGTTGCCCAGACGATCTCGCCGGTGGAGAAGCGTGCGGTGACCAGTCTGGCTTCTCAGGGAGACAGATCGAGTATTGCAATGCAGCTGCGCCCGTTTTCGGCGAGGGTTGCTGCAGTTCGTGTGACCGTCCAGGTTATTATAACCCTGACATCTGTAACTGGATGTATTTCTACCCTGGCAGTCTCGGGTTCACAACGAGTGGCTCACATCGCAGAAGGTATGCTCATCACGCAGGACAGATTTGCATCGGATCGGTATCAACAGCACCTTCGCCGGCCGTCTGTGTTGCGTCGTTTACCGACGGGAAAGTATGCGATCCCAGTGTGTTCGGTCAGACCGTGTACGAGGTACAACTATGTGATGGGGAGCAGGGCCTGGTTTGCTGCGCCAATGCTGCTGTCATGTACGGCCCAGGGTGCTGCTCGGCTCAGAGTAGTATACATGACAGAGCAGATGAACCCTGCTACTACTACCCTGGGGTAAACTCATGGGCGGATCGTGCTTCTGATGGGTCGGACCAAGCGCTATTCTGTGAAGCCCCGAGCAGTACCACCACGATTTCTGCGTCTTCAACCACCACCGCAACCGTGACGACCACGATCTCGACCACTTCACGCATTACTGCCACGAGCTTCTCGACTTCGCGCACGCACACATGCGACGTCCAGCCCAACGAGCAGTCCGCCGCCCGCGCCCGCGGGTCCCAGCGCCGTGGTTGAGATTGCGTCCGAGTGCACAGCGGACGAGGCTCTTCCGTCTCACGTGAGCGCGGCCGACCTCATGTCCTCCATTGTCTACACGACGGCGAAGAAGACGGGTTTAGCTGCTGCTGTATCCGTTCTTGCTTCGGACATCACCATCACATATTTCGCCGTGGGTGCTCGTCGGCTTTCCACTGCTGTACGCCAGCTCACTGGGACAGTCACTGTGAAGACAAGCTTCAGGATAAAGGTTGCGGACGTGAGCACGGCCGCTACCCTCTCCACCAGGATTGCTGGGGCTTCTGCTGCTATTAAAGCCCAGACTAACAGCGCCATGGCTGCTGCTGACTGGAGCGGTGAATCAGTAATCACAGTTGCTCCTACGATGACGGATCCTGTTGTGGCCAACCCGTCTGTGGTGGTGGGATTCTCGACGCCTGCGCCGACCCCAGCAGGCAGCAGTAGCGCGGGCAGCGCCGTGACTTGCGCCAAGCACCAGTGGTTTGACGCGCGCCGCAATGCGTGCGAATCCTGCCCAGACGGAGTGGAGCCGAGCTCCGACAAGATTGATTGCGAACGCTACGAGGAGACCGTGTGGGGCACGACGGAGCTCCAGCTTACCCTGATCGGGACCGTCGGTGGGATGTTCGCCACTGGGCTCACCGCAATGTCGACGTGGCAGGCGGTGCAATGTGTGCGGCGCCATCTGGCTCGGGGGCAGGGATGAGCCGGGACGGCGGCGGACTGATAAAGACATATTGGTTGGATTATTACACATGCTATTTATGGTATCAATGAAAGAACACTTGGTTTGATCATTCACACACTGCTGTGTCTGAATTTCCAATCAGATGATGATGATGAGGAGGAGGAGGAGGAGGAGCAGGAGGAGGAAGAGGAGGAGGAGGAGGACGAGTTCGCTGAGAAGGAGGGTGCGGAGAGGATATCCAACGACGCAAGGCGGGCCCCATTCGAGAATCGAACCGTAGGGTCCGACATCTGCGCGCGCCAGATGCTGACCCCGGCGTGGGCTGTACCCACGCGCCAGAAGTACTGACAACGAGCATAATGCTTCCACGTGCTGCTTCCTCGCCATGCCTGTCCTTCCCTCCTCGTCCTCACTCTTTTCCTTCCTCTCTCTCTCTCTCTCTTTCTCTCTCTCTCTCTATATATATATGTATGTACGTATTGTTTTTGTTCTTGCTCTCTCTCTCTCTGTCCTTTTCTCTGTCTCTTTTTCTCTTGCTCTCTCTCGCTCTCACTCTCGCTCTCTTTCCCTGCCTCTAACTCTTCCCCCCCTCTCTCTGCGTTTCCTTCCCCTGCACCATCGGCTGCATCGGTCGGCCCTCGATCTTCGACCCTCGATCCTCGTCGACGCCGGCGGACGTACGACTGCCGTGACGACGACGACGACAACGACGACGACGACGACGCCGACGGACGGCGACGACGACGACGACGCTGACGACCACCACGGCCACGACCACGACGGACGACCGACGACCGACGACCGACGACCGACGCCCGACGACCGACGACCGACGACTGACGACGAGGCGACCCCCCTGCAGGAAACTCGCCGCCAGGTCGCCGCCGACACGGGCAGTGGCTTCCCGCGGCGTCCCCCCTCGCGGACTGACGCTCTAGGGGGCAGGGCAGCACCATCTGGACCCCAAGGGAGGAGGAGGAGGAGGAGGAGGAGGAGGAGGAGGAGGAGGAGGAGGAGGAGGAGGAGGAGGAGGAGGAGGAGGGGAGGAGGAGGAGGAGGAGGAGGAGGAGGAGGAGGAGGAGGAGGCGGGGGAGGGGGAGGGGGAGGAGGAGGAGGAGGAGGAGGAGGAGGAGGAGGAGGAGAGGAGGAGGAGGAGGAGGAGAGGAGGAGGAGGAGGAGGAGGAGGAGGAGGAGGAGGAGGAGGAGGAGGAGGAGGAGGAGGAGGAGGAGGAGGAGGAGGAGGAGGAGAGGAGGAGGAGGAGGACGGAGGAGGAGGAGGAGGAGGAGGAGGAGGAGGAGGAGGAGGGCACACGCTCGCGGGCTCCTGGAGGCCCTCCAGCTTCCGGAGGCTTTCCAGCGGCTGCGCCCGGCCGGGAGCGTTCCAGGGGTGCCCGCGCCGCCGCGAACGGCCGCCCGAGGCCCGGGTCATGGCCCGAAGGCTACGTCGGGCCTGTCCCTCAACAGGGGGAAATTTCAAGAGCAGTCAAAAGTTAGTCTGGGGAGAATTGCCTAACGGTGTCTGCTTATTGTTGGAGTATTTTTTGAGCATCGCCGATTTTTCGTCCACAACCCCCTGTACGGGGGGCGCGCCCGACTTGACACCAAGGCTGGCATGCCCGCGCCGTGAGCAAAACTCGGGCCGGACGACAGGGGGGGATTGGGAAAGGGGGGGTTACGAAATCTGCTTCATGCAGCTGGTTTCGGCCCCACCGAGGGGCCCATTCCTCGATACATGTCCGCCTCCGGCGCCGGGAGGCGCCAGGAAAATCAGCTACGTGAGCTGAGTCTCAAACCCTCCCGTTGCTGTCCCCCCCTTTCGCCCGACCCGAAAAACTCACGGCGGGAGGTTTTGCTGGCCGCTCTCGGCCCACTCGGGGGGGCGCCTCGCCGTGCCCCCCGTGTGGACCGTCAGAGGGGCGGCTCCCGGCGAGAGGCGGGTCCCCGCGGAGGGGTCCTTCGGCGTCGCCCGAACGTACTTCTACTATATGTGGCTCGCCCACCTCCTCCTCCTCCCCCTGCTCCTCCTCCACCTCCTCCTCCTCCCTCCTCCTCCCTCCTCCTCCCTCCTCCTCCCTCCTCCTCCTCCTCCTCCTCTCTCCTCCTCCCCTCCTCCCCTCCTCCTCCTCCTCCTCCTCCCTCCTCCTCCTACTCCTCCTCCTCCTCCTCCTCCTCCTCCTCCTCCTCCTCCTCCTCCTCCTCCTCCTCCTCCTCCTCCTCTCCTCCTCCTCATCCTCCTCCTCCTCCTCCTCCTCCTCCTCCTCCTTCGGCGTCACCCCAGCATAGTGATACTATTTGTGGTTCGCCCCCCCAAGGGGCGACGCGCGCACCGAGAAATCTTATAGTACATGCGTCGTGGCGGGCGCTTTCTGGCCACTCTGCGCGGGACAACGATCTACTGCAAGACGGGTATACTAGGTGTTCGTGTCGGACGCGCGCCTCGAAGGAGGACATCTAGTGTGAGTATGTCTCTGTGCGCCCCAGTCCTGGCCTTTTCCGCGAGGGCGACATCGGATGCCATGGAGAACCCAAGGCTTCAGTCGGGCCCGTCCCTCTACGGAAACAATGTTTAGAAATACTCAAATATTGGTCTGGGGACGATATTTCTATTATTTTTGAGATATGTTTGATTCTTTTTGGGCTTTATTTTATTTTCTTGCAGAATGCGCCTGTAGGAGGACATGCCCGACCTAATTACGTAGCCCAAAGCACGGGGTCCCCAGATGAGGTTTTGTTGCGGCGCGTCCTGACATGTGCTGCTGGAAGCGGCGGTCGAAAGCAGTCGAACATCGGATGCACGACCCGGGGGCTGGGGTTCCGCGAGGGGCTGTGACGAGTCATTGAGGAAAGGGGGGCAAGTTCCTCACCTTGCCTGGGGGGGGGTCCCTGGGTAAGGCGAGGGACTCCCAATTCGAGGAGGTTTGGGGACGTCAGCGGGTCACCTTGCCCATCCTGACCTGGCCGAGCTTGGGCCGAGGATCGGCGTTTCGGACTCTGGCCAGGCCCGGAGGGTGTACATTCTGATCCTGGCCCCAGGAAGGATCCCCCCTCGTGAGAGGAACCCTGGCCATGCCGGCAGGAGCAGGGCAACGTAACACTATGTCGGGCGTGTCCCCCTACAGGGGATCTTCGACGAAGAATAACAAATACCACCAAAATGCCCCCAACAGGTCAAACAAATACCCCTACAAATAGTCCCCAGACTATTTTTTCATTATTTTTGATTTTTTGGGGGGGTATTTTTTGTCCGTCGAAAATCCCCCTGTAGGGGGACAGGCCCGATTTAAACGTAACACTCGAGTACGCCAGAACTCGGGTTCGTCTGCGCTGTTTGACGAACCACCCTTGGATTTCGGCGGTCCAGTTTCCATGGGATGTCTGCAGCGGGAGCCCGCGCGAAGTTTCAGACTGGGTCGCGTGATTTTCACGATGGCCCCGCCGGCCAACCCGAGTGCTCCTAACCCGAGTCCTACGTCTCCCCGACAGTAGGATTAAGCCGGGTCTGTCCCTCTACAGGGGGAATGTTCAAACATGGTCCAAAAATAGTGTGGGGACGATTTTCGGGTATTTTTGGTCATGTTTGGAATTTGTTTTGGCTACTTTTTCATTTATCGTCCAAACTCCCCCTGTAGGGGGAAAGGCCCGACCTGACCCGAGTCCTCCTATCCCGAGTCTTGCGTCTCCCCGACAGTTGGATCGCGCCGCGCCGGCGCGGGGGCGACCCCAGCGCGAGCGTGCGAGGCCGTGCGCCGCCAGTGGCCCAGCATCGGCCGCCATCGAGCGATCTGCGCTATCGGAAAGGCGCGATCGCTCAGCAGCCGCGCGGTGTCGGAAATCCGCGCGATCGCTCCTCCTCCTCCTCCTCCTCCTCCTCCTCCTCCTCCTCCCTCTCCTCCTCCTCCTCCTCCTCCCCCTCCTTCTCCTCCTCCTCCTCCTCCTCCTCCTCCTCCTCCTCCTCCTCCTCCCAACCAGCGCGATCGCTCCGTAACCACGCGGTTGGGTGATCCACACGGTGTCAGAAACCAACGCCGACGTCGTGAGGGCACGAGCCTGCCGCAAGGTCGAGGCCTCCCCCCGCCGCCGGGGAGAGCCCCAGCCAGTCCTACTTTGGGCGCAGCAGAGAAGAGACTGGCCTCAAAAAACGCCAGGAGGCCACACGCAAACCCAACCCCACCACCCCACGATCTCTGAGGGCGGAGGTGGGGCTCACTTCGCTCGGGAGGTCCCGAACAAAGGGCACCCCACCTCCCCTCTTAGGAGCCGTGGGTGTGGGGGGTGGGGCGAAGGGTTCGCATTCATCCCTCGGTGGGCGCGAAGGGTCGACGAATGCGTGTCTCGAGCCCGCCCGTGGGGGCGCGACGATTGTACATTGATATTTGTATGTGTATCTATCTAAAGTTGGCACACACACCTATATGTATACACATTCGATCTATGTATATATATATATATATATATTTATCGGAGTAGTATGTATGGTTATATATGCATATAGTTCTATATGTTTGCACGTTTTCAAGGTATTTGTATATTTACTTGTACGCATTGTTTTTTCAAATATATGTGTATGTGTATGTATACGTGAGTGTAGGTGCTTGTATATATCTATATATATAGAATTATGTCTATATATCTGTATCTATACATATATGTATAAATGTATGCCGCCCTCCGTGCGTCGCGGTCTGGGCCAGAGCGGCCTGCCCTACTCCGGGGGGGGGGGGGGGGCGGCGGGCGGAGCCGCCCCCTCCTCCTCCTCCCTCCTCCTCTCTCCTTCCTCTCTCTCCTCCTCGTTCTCTCCTTCACCTCCTCCACCTCTCCTCCTCCTCCTCCTCCCCCTCCTCCCTCCTCGTTCTCCTCCTCCACCTCCTCCACCTCCCACCTCCTCCCCCTCCTCCTCCTCCTCCTCTGCTCCTCCTCCTCCTCCTCCTGCTCCTCCCCTCTTCCTCCTCCTCCTCTCCTCCTCTCTCCTCCTCTTCTCCTCCTCCCTCCTCCTCCTCCTCCTCCTCCCTCCCTCTTCC